ACTTATCAATCATTTTTTCAGAGTTTTTGAATAAAAATTCAAATAATGGAACTGCTTGAAAAATAGCATGTCGTCTAGAAGGAGGTTTAGGTTGTAAAAGGAAAAAGTGTTAGTTATTCAAATATTTGTATTGATTGAAAGTAACGAAGTTAAGGAAGCGCAGTAGGGTCTCATATTTTTATTATTTGTTTCTTGGAAATTACGACTTTGATTTTCGAAATTTCGAATGTTATCTCGAAATTTCGACTTTAATCTCAAAATTATGTCTTTTATCTCGAAATTTTAACTTTAATCTCGTAATTTCGACTTTAATCTCGAAATTTCGACTTTAAACTCGAAATTTCGAGATAAAAGTCGAAATTTCAAGATTAAAGTCGAAGTTTCGACTTTGAAGTCGTAATTTCGAAATTACGAGATTAAAGTCGATATTTTGAGATAAAAGTCTAAATTTTCAGACTAAAGTCGAAATTTCGAGATGAAAGTCGAAATTTCGAGATTTAAAGTCGTAACTTCCAAGAAACAAATAATAAAAATATGTGGCTTTTCTGCGCTTCAGTACGAAGTAGCAGGAATGCTGCTTGAATTTATTGAAGTTATTATAAATATAACACTTTCTGTTGTAGAAATAAAGATATATCTGTAATTTCATGATATGACATTGCGCGATGAATAAAAATGTTCATATAGAAAGGCAAGAAGCATTAGGACATGAAGCCAAATCAAAAATTAAATTTATTCAGATCAGTGAGAAAGATTTGAAACACTTCTTGGAGGAATCAATGTTTCTTGCTGTTTTTGAGTGTATGTGCATGGACTGTTCAAAAAATTAAGTGACTGTTCAAATTTTGCGGGCTAAGTACATTCGACTAGCGATTTTTTTATGTTGATACACTAGTTTCGAACATATGTTCACAGTTTCAACTGTTCAGCATCTTCAGTTTGTTGGTGAGAGGCGTAAAAGTAAGAGGTTGTTTGCGTGTTCGGTGATTTCCTGCTATCGAAAAAAAAAAGTTGAAATAAATGCTCCAGAACCTCCAGAATGTTGACAGTGGCATACGGCGATTGAACTCTGAGTCAGAAAACGGTTAACAGGTGGTAAACGTTTTTCACAGAAGGTCGAGGGATGTGAATTACAAGGCTCGCTTGGATGCTTCAGCACATCAACAACCTTCTAATGTGAAGAAATTTGTTATAAAAAAATGTCATAACTGGTGGGGTGTCATAGATATATGGTAATTACATCGAAACCAATCATCCCAATAGAAGAGCCCAGAAGAGCCAAGACAAGTTCGATCAAGTTCAAGGTTTTGCTCACTGTTTTCTTCGAATTCCTTGGCATACTGCATCAGGTGTGCTTGCCACATAGTCGAACGATCAATAAGGAGTATTATTTTGAAGTTATGCGCTGTTTGCGCGAAGCAATACGAAGAAAACTTCCGGTATTGTGGAAAAGCAATTCATGGCTTTCGCATCACGATAATGCTCACTCGTCAATACTTGTTCGTGATTTTTTGGCGAAAAACAACACAATATTCATCTTCAGCCACCGTATTCACCAAATTTGCCCCCCTGCGACTTTTTCCTGTTCCCAATATTGAAGAGGTCTATGAAAAGAAGGCGTTTTGCGACGATTGAGGAGATAAAAACCAAATCGCTTAGAGAACTCAAGGACATACCGAAAAGTGGATATCGGAACTGCATCAAGCATTGAACAAAGGCTGAGGGCTACTACTTTGAGGGGATAGAATAGAAATCAATGAATAAATGAATATTTATTGAGAAAATTTCAATTTCACCTGATTTTCTGTACAAACTATGTATAACTTTTCTCAATCTGGAAAAATAAACAAAGCCTAATTAATAGAGAATCTGCTGAAGTTTAATGAAGGGCAAACTGAAAAGTTCACTACGTAATATAAACCACTGAAGAATCCAATTACTCAGTAACTTGTGAAAATACTATTCATACATTTTGCTTACAAATTGAATAATCAATTGAAAAATATTATATACTTTGCTTTCATCAATGAGAAACCAATCTTTATCCGTTTTCAAAAATCAAAAATTCACTCCAAAACTTTCGCCTTGATTATGAATAGGAGGTATATCGGTGAATACGACAAGTTTCTGGCTGAGAGTGAACTCTTCAGTTTGCCTTTTATTGCACTTCAGCAGATTCTCTACTGATATTCACGCAAAAAACACTGAGAAACATTTGTAAAATAGTTCTCAAATTTCAGACTGGTCAAACTTTTCGAATCGAATTGAAAACAGAACCATTCACTGACATTTGTAGTATTTTGGGATTCTGAGGTAGGATTGATACACTTCTCTTTTGTCGACACACGTCGAAAATGAGCACTCAATAATACTAAATCTTTCATCATCTCGAAACGCTGCACTGTACTAATTGAAATGTGAGATGACATGAAGTCGAGATACCAAAACTTCTCCATACTTTGCAAACAATATCTAGTAGATTCTATCTCTCACCACTCGTCGCGCTGAAATATGTCTCTCTCGCTACAAATTCGGCGAGCGCGAAATTAAATTCCACCTCAAACCGTCTTGAAGTTAGATGATTGACTAAAATTAAATTTAAGAACATAAACGCGTTAAACTTTCCCCTTTTCACTCCATCAACTTGACTTCTGTATAAATTGTTGAACCTGATTTTGTTAGCAGGCAATTTTTAACAACCGTCTAATAAATTGCCGACATTTATTTAATATTCGCTAATACATTCTGAATTACCGTACGTCAACGAGATATTAGAGATAAAAATAACTATAATAAAATGTTCAGTTAGAGACTGAAATAATCATGTACTTGAAACATTTCACTAATGTTCCTAGAAGCATGAAAAAATGTGTGGTTGTTATTAATAGTGTCAATTTTTATTCCATAATCATCACACTCAAATTACTTGAACTCCACGATTCAAATTTAATCGATATTTATTCTATTCTTCATTCCAGATTTTGAATCGGAATATTCTGGTAGGGGTAGATTGTGTGAGAGGATTATCACCCGCCAACTTGGTGTGTTGATTCTAAGCACCCATTTTCACATATAAATCTATATAAAAAAACTCAAGGTATATTCTTTCTCTTCCTACTTCGGGGCACTTCAAGCCTATGAACAGAGTCACACTTTACATGAATATTCTAGCTCAACCAAGAAAATGCAAAAGCTATCTAAATATCTCCAAAGAAATCACATTAATTCTGGTTCTTTCTGAAGATAGTCAGTTACAACTTCATATTCAGCCTTTTCCACCTTTTTTGCCACCTTCGAAAAAGACATAAATTTGTCTAGCTACCTGATCAACCCTGAATTATCGAGAAAATTAATCTCCATAAGAAGCGCTCATAGAGAGGCTAATGCCAAAAATTATTTTTCCTGAAACTAGGGACTGAAACTGAAAGTATTCCACCATTGGTTCTCAAAGTTCGTGATGCAGAACTGTTATCGGTCTTGTGCGAGAATCCAATCATTCCTTTGAAATAGGCAATAGAATTTCTGAAAGATGAAACCTGTTATTTCTGGGAGATGTAGAATGATAGTCAATATTGAAGACGTTGAATGCCTAGAAGTCTTTCAGGTTGAAGGAACGCAATAAGCGAATAAATATTTTCACAGACAGCCAGTTCGCACTGATGTACCCGGAAGTGACTTCAAGATTAGTCTGGAAGTGCCTTGAAGAACCAAGAAAACTGGCGGACAGGAATAGATTGAGTCTCTACTGCGTATCAGGATTTTCAGGGATCGCAGGTAAAAAAAAATCTGATAAGTGTGCCGGACACGGATGCCATATTAGCTCCATATATAGGCCCTGAAACAGCTATGAGTTACTGAAACCTTTGGTACAGAACCAGGGATCGTTGGAGAAGAGAATTGAAGAGAAATCAGCTCGAAATAATCACATAACTATTCACTGTTCACTGTTAAATAATCAGATATCTGATCAATATAGGTTGTATAAAGAAGAGCTCAACTGCATGCGATGCAACAAAGTGACAGCGACAGCTTGTCATGTTTTATGCAAATGTGGGGCACTGGATGATAGGAGGCACTTGAAGGCAAATGTGGGGCACTTGAAGATGATCACTTGGTGATCAAAACACGTGTCGAGGTGTTAAAATATCGGTTTTTCCTGTAGGAAAAAAACTCCAGTAATATTTAACCTAAATTATGTTCTAAAGAATACGACAACAAACATTCACATTCTGAAAACCAGTACAGAAAACAACATTGTTGAAATGGATGATATTGAAAAATGTAGGGACAAACGTATAATCGTAAGCCTGAGGTTGGGGCCGTCTTTTTCAGAGATTTGTAAGAAATGGACATGTCAGACAGTTCACGAGAGCAGAATAAAAAAAAATCAATACCATGTCTTCAGGACTTATCTTGAATAAAAAAACCCAATGTTTTTCGAACATTTCCCACAGTTTGATGGTTTTATTGTAACTGCTGCTTTATAAAACATTAAGTTCAAACTGTGAATTCAAATAATCACCTTTCTATGATATACTTACACTATCGTATTCACGTCATTCGTTCTCTCTCATTTATCTAGCACTCTGCTTCATTCTGAGCGTGTAGATGCTCTTCAAGTGGTAGGACAACACATTGGGTGCTAATTCTATTTGCTCTCATTTGCCCGACCTTTTCCCAACCGTAATTCCATTAGTTGTGCTTTGTCGTTTAATTTCTAATGTTTTTACAAAGAATTCCTTATGTTTTCTTAAACAATTTCAATTTAAATGATGTTTGCAGAGGAACTGTGCAAGTTTATTCCATGTGGTTCTGTTTCAAAAAATTTATACAGGGATTATACGATATTTTTTGTTCATTAAGGTGAAGAGGATATCTAATTTTGTTTTAATTTCGTCATTTTTCTCATTTGTTGACTCGAGTAGATTGTAGGGTTATCCAACGACGATATTCTTGTTATTTTGGTGAAAAACTGTTTTTCAAGTTATTTTGAGATATGGCTAATTTCTTAATAACACTAAGGTGGAGTGAGTGACAGAAGAGTGACTTACTTGTTTCGTTACAGAGTCGATGAGTCTCACGTAGATGTCCTGTTCTTGTCGCACACCTGAAAAAAAAAATCGTAATCATTTTGGTACATTTCAGCATGAGTATAAGGAAGTTTGAAAGCTATGCTATGATTTTTCATTTACAGGTCTTCTAGATGATTGTCACACTGATTAGAATGTCCTTTTTTCAGTCAAGAGATACCACTTTTCAACTATGAACAACATCATGACCTGAACCCAGAGTATATTTATAGAACTCCAAGGGGATTATACAAAGTGTTGCCATTTTTTGCACAGTAGATAAATGTCTACGATCCGGATATAATAATGTCAAGACATACAATTCCGCTTTCTGCTTCGATAAGTTCGTTGAGGGTTAAAATGGACACCAATATGTCTTGGCACAATCATGTCGCTGGAATTGCAAAGGCTGCTTTTGAAAAGCTTGAAACACTGTTCCGACCAGAAAACTATATACTTACACTTCAAAAAGTAACTTTTGTTTTTTTATGAAGCTCAGATCAGACATTCTTTGGAGTATTGTTCACATGCATAGAGCTCCGCCCATTAGCATATCCTGAAGCTACTGGATTCCATCCAGGAAAGAGCCATCCGCCTGATTGGAGACACGAAACTCACTTGCAACCTTGATAGTCCGGAAAATCTCTTTTATAGATACTTTCACGGAAGGTGTTTGAGTGACTTGTCACATTTGATTCCACCAAGAGCGGTACATATCAGAAATACGCAACGGTCTGTGGCTGCTCATCGTTTTGAGGACCAACTTTGTACATTTCGAACTTCACTGTTCAAGAACTTTTTCATTTGAAGGATTGCGTTTATGTGGAATGAACTTTCTGAATACGTTTTTCCAAATTAATTTAATCTTCAGCGATTCAGGCACCGCTCTTAGAGCGCCTCAAAGAGTTTCCTGTAGTGCTTGTGTTTTGTCCTTAAAAAAAGAGTAACCAAAGAACATCATTGTTGAGAAATATAGGTAACATAAAAATTTTTCTCGAACTACCTTGAACAAATAATATTTTTTCAATTATCATGCAAGAGGTTTTTACTCCTTTGCATATTGATCTCAATATAATTGGTAACTTTATCAGAGCCATGGACACAAAAGTTACAAATACCTGAAATGATTATTTTATGTGCCAAATACACTTGGACCTGTTTTTTAAAGGTAGTGGAGATATTTCCAGACATCAATAAAAATTAATGAATTTGAAAGTGTATGTAGGAACGCTTGAATTACTTTTGCGAATGAGGAAATACGTTTCATCGAGGCGATGGAAACATAATTATAAGAGTGTTGAAACCCAACAGCATTTAAGGATTATAGGTAGTTTTCTAATGAAGATGATGTTCAAAGATTCCCCCTTTTTACGTTGACGTTACGTGCTATATAGCTTTTGATTTTTCTATTGGCGACCAGGAAAGTTGGTGCCTTCGGAAGAAAAACCTACTTCCCGATTGAGGAACCAAATTTCTTAACAGCAAATTAGGAGTTTCAATGATAATTTATGGTATCATTTATAACATCACGTGAAATCCTAACATAAATCCCTAATAAAACAAGTCAGCAAATCCAACAGAAATGTCATTATAAACAAATTAACTCTTATTCAACTATAATAATGAAGCTTACAGTCAAGTCAACAAATCGAACAAATGTGTCATTGTGAATAAAATTGAGTCTCATGAAACTATAAATTGTGTTACCCTTATTGCATTCAAATTTTCTTCGAAATGAAAAAGATCTAATAATTTATTGTACCACATCAACGTTTTTCTTTATATCATTGATTGTCAGTAGCTATCGATAGCGGCAATGGATAATCTTCATTTTTGGGGTGGTACAACTTGTGGTGAAAACAGATTCATCTTCAAACAAAAAAATTTAGAATAAAATCATATTACTCTTTTCGCAAAACTATTCGCGGAATTTCGAAAACCCGTTCAATATCTGTTACAATAAACATGAACTTGTCGAAGAAATATTAATCCATATACATTTTACAAATATGAACATTCAATAGTTTTTACCCCGCACCGGTTTGTTCTTTGACTCGAAGCCATTCTAAAATGATTATGGAACATCTATTAACTTCTGGTGCTATTCAAAATTTGATTCTGCAAAGAATTTACAGCACATTAATGAATCATAATGAATTATTCATTATGAATTGAAATTCATCAATTGTGTTACTACTCAGTATTCAGTAATACCTAACAATATTTTTTACTAGGATGATGATGACATTGGAAAAAATATATATTGGAGAAGGGTATGCAATCAGTTCCGACATGAACTCGTTTCCGGGTCACCCCAAATTTCCCATCAAAATATCCTGACCGAGGTATACATACGAGATCATAAAGTATGACAGTATAATTTTAATGCTTCAGAACAGACATCGACCGGTAGTAGAAGTTCGGAATGGGCCATAATAATAGAGTTAATAATACGACAGACATGGTAGGTTTCCGGGACGGGAATGGCTGAAATTGGCTGACAGAGGTCGAAACTTATATGAAATGACAGTAAGGCGTCTTGAAGCAATTTGAAAGTTATGTGTTTCAAGTCAAATGACGTGTGACACACTGTAATGTACTGTGGAACTAATAGAAACTATTCAATACAAGCATGTTTGTTAAACTTACGTGTCAAATAATGAACATTATTTTGGTCCTTTGGAATAATAAACTCTGGAACAATTTTATCTACATGTTATATATTATTTGTCGGTCGATAGCCGGTCGGTTCGACATGAGTTCTTTGTTCACTCACTCGAATTGATCGTCGTGTTGGTCGGTGGTTGAAGCCCCAGGCTGAACGATCGATTTTCACTTGCTGTCGTTCAACCCATGTTAGAAATCACACGTTAAAAGGTAAGACCTCGTTAATCTTTAGCTCGCCACAAGTTTCGACTTCTGAGGGTTGTCGTTCGTAGGGGTGCGACAGCTGGTTAACGGAAAAACAGATTTTAAACAGATTTTTTCAAATATCAGACTATACTTGAAAATCCACAACGTATTCAATAAACACCTTATTATGATATTTTCACAGTTTCACAAAAATGCAACACCTGTTTCGCAATACAGTAGCTTCTTCAGGCGTGTCTATACACGTATAGACACGTATTCAGATATTTGCTCCTACATCACAGTGAAATTGAAAAAATATAACTGAACATTCAAACCAAGTTACTTCAGGACATCAAAAACACCTTCCGGTTCTGATGCAGGTGTTTTTAGTCGCAGAAACAGCACAGAGATATCTACCTGCTTAGGAATCTATGCGATTGTATTTCAAGCGGAAATTTACGCTATTGAATTGTGTGCAGAGAGATTGGAAGAATTCAATCTCATACACAAGCCAATGAAAATATTCTCGGACAGTCAAGCGGCGTTGGAAGCTCTTGGGTCCTATCAAGCAATTTTCAAATTGGTGGCAAATTGCTAAAAACGACCCTCCTTGATAGAAAGACTGAACAGATTGCCTCTGGTCTAGATTCCTGGACATACTGGTCTGTAAGGTAATAAGGATGCTGACTCCTTTGCAAAGGAGAGTGATTCAAGCAGCTTCATCGGACCAGAACATATCATTGGCATCACTTCAGGCTTTGCCAAACAAACATTGAACACCTGGACGGCAAGAAGAATAATGGAATTCTGACAGAATCTTCCAGGATTGGCTCACTGCAAGGCGTTAATTCACTCTTCGAAGCTTAATACCAAACAGTTGTTGGACTATGTAGGGATGAACTACGATGTCTAACAGGCCTTCTTACAGGTCACTGTCATTTAAATCATCATATGCACAGACTCGGACTGCCGGGAGACAGTGTGTGTCGCCTCCGTTTGGAAAATGATGAAACAACAGAGCATTTACTTTGTGCCTGCCTTGCTGGAGACCGAATTAGATTTTTAGAGTTCGGCAGAGCCGTACTCTAAGGAATATAGGATTTTCCCCACTGACACGGTATCCGATAAATGCAATTCTTGAAATCACAGTCCGCGTTTGGTGGTCTGGTTTTCGTGAGGCTGCTACAGATGGTGTTTTCAGGTAGGTTTAATGTTGTACTTGGATCCAATTCTTTCTATCCTTTCGGACAATCCTCTGACTTAGGGAAGTGCAATCACTGGTTGTGATGGCTTCTCTTCCTTGTGAGACTCTTGCTGTCTTCTAGCCAGAATCACTTCCACCATCACTTTTGAATAACCATTTCGTTAAAGATCTTTTTTGTGATGATGCCCAGAACCTTCTTGAGATCTTTTTTTGTATTACAGAGACCGAAAGCACTATCCTCTAGAGTCTTGATGATTCCTCTCTTGGTAGATTGATGGTGGTCATTCAGATAATGTTCCGTGTGAGTGTGTTTTTGGTATACAGCGTAAAACCTTCCATCACCTTCACTATGGAGAAGGAAGTCCATTACCAATTGACATTCTTTGACGTATTAATAAGAGGACCGACACTGAGTGGGAAACCCGCTTGAATTTTCAACAACAGGTCAATCCATCGTCCAGAAAGCTATAGAACTGTTTTTGATAGAATTTATCTAATTATGCAGGCTTTACGTTTGTTTATTTTTGATTTGAATTTGTTACGGGCGAACCTGACGAGATACTCATTGAGATTTGATGGGTTTTAGACAGCTTACTCGAAACTTTTGCATATGGAAGGTCTTAAATAATAGAAGCTTTGAAGGCGTTTATTTAAACTATTTACTAAGCTCTGTGTATTTCAGTCCAGAGAATAATGAATGAGACCTGTCCATTGAATATCAATCCGGAGAATTCACTCGCATCCTCATTCACCAAATCAGTACTTCAAACGTTCGAAAATATTCCCGTAGAACCAGGAATGCGTCTCCGACCGACTGAGCCCTTGTTGTTCCACTTGATCTGATTGACTGATCGGATTAATTATCTATCTAATTAAAAACAACGTCTAGTAGATCGATTTGTAATTCTTTCAGCGTGCCGTGCGGCTACCAGCTCCTTATAAGCGCTACTCCTTACTGCGCTAAAGTGTAAATAAAGTTTT